AAATGTGAATAAATGAAATTTTGTTTAAATATTTTTGTGATTGAAATTTATTGTTATTTCTTTTGTAATACAATTTTTTGGATTTGCTCTACGATTAAATCTACTTAAAGTGATGTGCGATTACTACACAGAACTTCAAATAATCCGTACACTCACACATAAAGATAATTTTTATCGAAATATTTTGCAATTATCTTTTTTTTTAGTATTTCCAACGCCAATACTTTTATTATAAGATTTATCAATAACGTTAATTGGAGAATGTTTTTAACCGGGTCATCACCTTCGAGCAGAAGCGTCTTGAATTAAAACACAGACATCCTCTGAAGATCAACATGAACGTAAACATTCTTTATTTGGGTCAATACTGCATCGTACAAGATCGAAGACATAAATATTTTTCTAATATTGGTTTCTTTTCTTGGAAAGAGGGTTGAGATACGATTAATTCAATATTTTGTCCATACTTGTTTTATCCTCGCTGTAAGTAAAATCATTTTTTATAGACTCATGTATTAATCTTTTACCAATATCGAATATATCATTGAATACTAATTACAAGACAATATGAAATGTATGTGAATAAATTTCTTCATCCATGCTCATAGCAACATTTATCTGTTAAAATAATTATCTACATCCCTAATTGAATTGATATCTACAATAAATCACGTCATTCTCTATGTCAGTAAAGACAAAAACGGGTTTCACTTGCGCATTAATCACGAACGACAACGAAATATAAATAAATAGATGTTTCTGTATCGGGCAATTAATCAAGTTAATATTCCGGAACACGACTTAGAAGATCATAAGAAAGTTACAATGATGGAATAGAATTATCACAGTTTTCTTTGCAAATTCGATGTAGAAGGATTTTGATTGAGATAAGGGTTGCGATTTGGGATCATCAGGGAAAAAATTACATGTAGATTATTTCAACTGAGAGATTGATTAATTTGGACATATAAATAGAATATACGTATTTTGTCATTTTATTTTATATTTTGTCGAATTTTGTGAAGATGGTGGCAGCGGTGCGCAAAGCGGCACAAAATTAAATATTTACAACTAAACTTTTTCGAGATAGGTGTGGAAATACGAAAAAAAATAAAGTTAATTTTATAAATTGTTAATTTACGTGGAAATCTCCTCTTGTATTATTGTGTATTTTCTGTTGAACATTCAAGGAGTTCAATTACTAAATCTTTCTGCACTTGATTTTTTCTCGCGCGTGTATTAAGAATACAATTTCAAGGCTCTATGATTCACAGATGATGTGTTTAAGAAGAACAAATATAAATTAGTTTATGGATTGGTGAATCAGTAGCAATAGAAATTCATGTTTATGATTTTGTAGAGCAAAGTTTAATTGTTGATTCATGCTAATATGTATGCTAATAGGTAAGGTAAACCTTGTGTAGATTATCAGCTTTTGATGTAAAGTCTGTACGTCTACAATATACTGATGAAATAGGATTTTTCTGTTTGGTATATGACTCTTCATAGAATTGTAGATTATTATGCAATATAATCTTATGTTATATCTTTACGTTTTTGTGCATCATGATCCTGATGATCCTTTATATTTATAGTATAGTTTATATTTTATTACTGAACATTATTAGAAGATAACCCCATGGTTGCCTGAGATATGGCAGCAATGACCTGAAGAGCTATTTTACTTGAAAACATTATTTTCTTTATTTCTAAATGAAAACTGATGTTCTATTTCTTGACATAGCTGTCAAGACGTTTATTGGAAAAAAGGGTCTATAGCTATCTATATTTCCAAGTGAAAACCAATGTCACTTTTGCTTGACATTGGTCTGTCAGGACCTTCATTGGAAAAGAGTCTTTTGCTATTGAAAAGAAAGGGATATACTGAAAGGACTAAGATTAAGACGAATTCTGAAGGATAGATTACGACGCAGAGAAACACAAAAATATGAAACTTAAAAGCCCAAGCCCATGACAAGGAAACATTTGAGTAAATGTGATCTATAAATAATGTAAGAAAGAGGAATGAGTTTAAGGTGTATTTTTGCACATTGCACTTGCGTTTTGGGAAAACACCAGGAATAATATTACAACTTTGCTCCACGGATTTCATTTGCACAACACAATCCGTTACGTCGTTTCTGGGCTCTGTTCCATGTTGCACTTTGTTATCTGCCAAGTTATCCCTAAATCAAGGTCAGTTCCAAAATACAAAGACGGGTCATTCATCTCGACGTTAAATCGCATATGTTCATCGCATTGCTTAATCCGACAATCGTCGAAACTGATCTTGTCTGCGGTGCGGCGGATGCATTTGCGGCATATGCTGCTCTTCCCTTGCTTTGCTGCTCTTCCCTTGCTTAGACCATTGCGGTGCATTCACGAAATGCTAATCAGCCGATTTGAACAACTCACTCGGAACTGTCCGAAATCTAGATACCAAGGAGGAGATATGAATCAGATCTTGTCTAATGTGTTAGTGTTGGCCGAGGTGTATTTTGACTTTGGCAACAGGACGTGACGACGTGAAATTTTCGAAGCCAAATTCAGTAGCTGTACATAAAACGTCAAAAAGAGTTACTCATTATCCATTGTCGCACGTTGACGAACTTTCAACTATAAGGTTAATTTTGCTTATATTCAGAATTCGATATTTCAAATTGAAATTTTATTAAAAAAAATATACTACTGCTTATTATATTACTGCAACAAATTATTACCTTACTCAATTATGTTCATTACTCGTATCTTTCATGTTTCAATAAATTTTCAATCAAGCGGACCGTGACAACTTTTCCGCTGAAAGCACTATCGACTACATCGGTTCAGAGCACTTGGCAATGCAATTTGTATTTTTTGTGCTAATTCCACAGAGAGGCAGTCCTGGTCTCTGTGTAGTGTAAATTTGTGATTCGATTTGAATCAAAGCCCTTGTTATGAATAGCACACATGGCGATTGTAACGGAAGCTTGTCCATTGTCTCTCGATGCTGGTTTCCGCTCGTAAAGCAATTGCTGAATACAAAATCGGACAACGCATGACGCGCGACCCGTCGATGCTAAACGATAAAAAGGCTGTAAATCGAACAATGTTCACGGAATGGATGAATATCAATATAATAGATATATTACATAAATTGTGTGATGTTGTTCTCAGTGATTTCTTGTCCAAGAAAAATATCTCCAGAAAACGGACCAACATGATCACCATAACCATGAAGAAGTCCAGTAAAGAAGGGGAGAAGAAAGTGTTCTACTGGAACTGATTGTACAGTGAAAAGAAAACTAAATCGAATCTTTACGAAAAAATGGCATCTGCAGTAGGTGATCGAAAAAAAATTGAAAGATGATGATGGAGAATGCTAGGCTAACTTACACGAGAAGAGCAAATATAGGGGATAAGCTACTTACTGGAATCGAGTGACAGAAGAAGTATTAGAAGTATATAACAAAGCGCTCAACCGTTTGGAAAACACTGATATATTTGGATTTACTTGATCTTATTACAGGATTACTGAAAACACAGTTTATCTTCTCAATTCTTCTTTGAAATTCTATAGATGTTTTTGGTAGTTCTTATCACATAGTCAACATCTAAGGGTGCTCGAATATAATTTTTATTTAGTTTCTTTCTAAAATCGTAATTTGTGTATTTTTGCAGTGCTTTGCATAATTTTGTTAGCTTTAATCTTGTTACTAAATATAGTTTATGGGTCTCTGCTAATCTTCCTATGTACATTAAAATTTGAATAATTTTGGAATCAAGACTAAATTCTTATATAATAAATTAAATATTTTTTTTGATATTTGCATTTTTTTATTTTCACTGTCATTTGAATTACGTTTACTAAAATATTAAATTATAAATCGACTGCAGCAACTGAAGTATATTTCATGAACAAAATTCCAGAGCTATATTTATAGTAGTAAAGTGTAGCATACTACTTTATGTTGATTTTTCAATGTTAGTAGTCTTCATATCTTCAAGTCTATAATTTATCAGTAAGTACACACCTACATATTTATAAGACATCAAATTATAATCCTTATGTAGGTTGCAATATGCATTGCAGACAGTTGCCACACTGATTCAACAGATTTCAAACGAGATTCCTTATAAGGATAAAGATATATTACATATAATTGAATGCAATCGAGATAACAAGGAGATTGTTAAAAATACTTCCAGTTACATAAACGCACAAAAGTACAAAATGCCATTTGCCTTTTTATGCCAACTTCATTTGTCATCCTAAATTGACTGCCGAGACTGCACTGGGAGTTTATATATTTACTCCTTTGTGATGCATTTGTTTATCAAAATATAAAAATTATTTGGAAGATACTAAAATAAATTTGGCTTAATGAGGATATCCTGTTGGAATGTTTAATTTGGAGATGCTTTTAATATGAAAATAACTCTAACAAAGGATAGCATTGACAGCAACAACAAATTTATAAATGAGTGTATTAAAATTTCACGTCTGAATGAGAGGAATAATGAAAGTGAATTGACTTATCAGTTTTGGTAAACTGAACTTTTTATATAAATAAAATAATTTAATAAATATATATATATAATATATATATATATATATATATATATATTTATATATATATATTTAAATTAGAAATCGTATATTTATGTTTATTGTAATAAGTTTGTTAACTTATACACGAATATTATATTTGGTTAAATATTGAAGACAGTAACCATGCAACCTAGTGATATTTTTTTTAAATTCAACATTATTTGAAAATATATAGAATATTATAGGTGCGAATAAAAATGTAATTTTTGTGAATTTAAAACTATACTAAAAACACATTTTTGAAAAGTATTCAAAAATATATTTGACAATAACTTATTCATTATCAACATTTAATATGTAATAAATCAAATACTATTATTATTAATAATAATTAGATATCTATATTTAATTTTGAATTTTTAGATGTATATTATGTAATTTATTTCTATATAATTTTTTTTTATTCCAGCAAAATTATTTGGCAAAATTCGGTTATTTGCCACAGAGTGCAATCGAAACAGGGAATCTACGGTCAGAGGAACAATTGCGTGATGCGATACGATCTTTACAGGTAAATTATAACTTAATTATAATTTTGTGTTCACAAAATATACATCTGAAACATATATTTCTCCAAACATATGTGTCTCTGCCTATTAAATTCCATTTCTTGTTTTGTACCATACCTTTCACCACCACATTATTTACAAAGCTCATAATCTTTCCACATTTGGTTAGTCAGAGCTTAATGAGCTTGAGAAAAAACGTTTCTTGGAAATATCTTCTGCAAAATGTCTCGAAATTAATGATAATAAAAAACTATTCTGAATACAGTGGCATTAAGATGTCTTAATTTAGATTCGTATCCTTTTCAGGAATTCGGTAATATTCCTGTAACAGGCGTGGTGGATGATGCTACAATAGAATTACTTCACAAAAAACGATGTGGGGTCAAAGATAAATTAAAAGGACGATTTAAGAGGTTTGTTCTGCAAGGACAGAAGTGGCCGAATGCCAGTTTGACATGGAGGTAAGACATAATATTTCTAAACTAAATTAAATAAAATTTTTGTAATGGGCAGAATAAAATTTCCTTGATGCAAATCACATACAGCTCAATTGATGAATAGTGATGAAATATAAATATTTATATATTTATTGTGAAGGGATATGTAAATGCTGAATTTTATGGCGTTCCGTTATCAATCTAACTCTTCGATTTGCGATTTGGGATCCGGAACATAGTGCTCCGGTTTGCCAGGGCAAACTCTTTAGATGCGAAAATGTTCCGGAATCGAGGTTAAATAATTTGCATATATATACACACACAAATTTATATATATATATATATATATATATATATAGATATAAACATTTGTGTGTATATGAGGCATCTGACAGCTGGTGTAAAGTAGACGTTCCCAGTCTTTGTTGTAAAATACATAGTTTCAGTTCCTCCGTTACATTAGGACGTCAGATTTCAGAAAGTTTAATTTGGACAATAGAAAATGTCCGATGCATCTAAAAACAACATTTATTCTTAAAGAATTAATTTATATTTTGATTGTCTATTGAAATTTTTTTATTGTATAGAGATTTTTGCACCTGTCCTGAAATGAACAAAAAATAAAACTGTATAGAAAAATATGACTTTTAATATTCGAAATCTACTGACCATTATCAAAGTTTTTAAAAATTGATATGTGAATGTTAAATGGAACATTAAATTTATTTTTCAATTTTTTTATCATTTGTTTTCATGTCTTTATGTATTAACTAATTCGATTCATAATTATATTGATCCATGTATAAAGAAAAAAATGTATAAGGATTATGCATTAGTTATGACTGGCAAAGGCTTTTAATTATAGTGTCAGAATTAATAAAATGATGAGTATACAGTTCTCCCGTATTTTTTGATTCGTCACGCACTGGAGTAAAAATAGAAAACGCTATGATATTGCGGAAATTGTTGAAATGTGTAGCGACCCTACTACTTCCGAAATAAAGCATTTTTGTTTACTAACTTGGTCTAAATATACCTACTTTACTAAGAATTAACTGGCTGTATATACATAGTGAGTTAAAAATAATATTATAAATGAAATAAGAGTAATATTCAATATGTTTTATTATGAACTGCAAGTAACGCGTGCAGTACTGAAGGATGTAAATTAGTTATATAAATCAATATACCAAGACCTGAATTACCTGAATGTTTAGTTCTCGAGAAAATCAATTTTTATAATTCAACGACCGTATATCTTTAATCAAAAATATATCCGTTAATTTTCAAATGCAACCATGTGTCACCAAAAATTAAAAAAAAATACTGAGGTCTCAAATTTCCATTACACGGTTCGAAAACGCCCTCTGAGGTCCGTAACAAATCCGCGTGCGGATTATAAAGGCTCGTCTAAATATAGAATGTCTAATTTACACACGCGGGGTTATTTTTATGCGTCTTGTCATCATATATTAAGATAAAAATTTATTCACTAAATGGTAAACACAAATAGAAAGGTTTTAATTATTTTATCACTAATTATTTATCAATAATAGTATTTATTTTAGCAATTTCAATTATACTAATTTATATTAATTCATAGAAAATCCAGTATTAATTTAGCAATCTTATTCATTTAATAAATGTGATTTTTTATTATTAAGTAACTGAAATTAAATTATTTCATATTATATTTAGTATGCAACACATCTGCACTTTTCCACTTTACACAAATAACCAATAAACTGCTAACTGTGGTGTTAAAAGTGCTAAAAAATTTACAGTTCCTCAGAAAAGGGAGCACCCGATTCGAATGATTTGAGTCCGAAGAAACGATTAATTTTTGGAGAAGAGAATAATTTTTTTTTAATTAAAAAAAAATAATATCGAGAATGATTCAAATGTTAATTTTAATTCCAACTAAAATTCTTGAAAAAAATAATTTTAACTTTACAATTTAATTTATATAATTCTTAGAAAGACAGAAAAAGTCCTTTGTTTATTAACTTTTTTTATGTAAATATACATAAACGTCGCCGGTTAATTTACAAGCTATTATATTTTGTCTATAAAATACGAGTAATGAAAGTTATAGTATTTATAATAATCTACTTGCAAGTATTCAAAATTACGCAAATATTTCATTATGGTAAGGAAGTTCTTGCAATTTGCCTTAAGGCACGATGCCATGCACTATTAGTAAATACAAATCACAAAAACATAAGAACAAGAAGTAAATATTGTAACTATATAAAAAAATTAAAATTACTAATAAAAATGAATACTAATCAATAAAAATTACTATATAAAAAAAAACAACTTGGAATTGTTAAAAATCATAAATTAGTATTATTGGGCACGCCAATCATAATTGAAATGCTCTTATTATTTTCTATTTCTTTATTAGTAAGCAGTTATGATGAAAGTCAATTGAAAAAAATTATTATTAATCTCCAGTGCGAATTTTTACTATTATTACTATTATTTTATTCTTCTCTATTTCCCGTTTTATTCTCGGAAGCTCTTTGCAGCAGCGTGTCCTTCCTCAGGGTGCGTTCGTAGGGGTGAACGCACAGCCGCGACGGGTGGTTCTTAGTCACGGACCCCAGTTTCACCCTTATTGATTTCCGCACGTCCCTCACGCACGCGATCATGGAGTTCTTTGACCCAAAAAAAGGAGACACAGAACGTCTGGCTGACGATTATTTTTATTTGAGATTTTGCACTTTAACACGTCCGCTGCAAGATGCGTTCTAGGATAATATTATTTCCCTCAATGTGAGAAATGTTCTGTACGAGACATTGAAATCTCATATTTTCATATTAAAAGAGATAAAATATTTCATATTTTTATTCTCTCATATTTTTCTTATATATAACACACAGAGATCAAAACACTTTTGTCAGGAAAATCAATCCCTAAACCTAATGCTCGTATCATTGCAAAATGAGTTCTTTATAATGACTTTAATTTTCATATGTAAATAATAAAAAGAGTCCAGACACAGGGTATGGGATAGTAGAAGTATGGGTTTGAGCAGTAGAAAGTCAACTATAAACAAAGGAAAGAACATGGGAACATAAAAAATATGTTTAAAAATAAATGAGTAAAGCAATAAAGTATAATTGTATAGGAGATTAAAGAGTCAAATTAATTAGATACAAATTTAGTGGGTAAATAATTATTAAGTAAACTATTCAATATCATAAGATCTTTAAAAAGAATTGCTTCTTTTTACAGAACTTTCCTAGAGCTTATTAGGTTGAGTATCTCAATCGTCTACACATTGTTGGATTAATTAACTTCCCGAAGGAGAAGTTTATGTTTTCATCAAAAAATCCGATTCGCTATTTTTATGTTTTCTCAACGTTTCAAGCCATTCTGAATCAAATGAGACCAAATTTGGAAAAAGTATGTGTGTATGTGCGTGTGTTAACAGATTTTATGCCGTAAATCAACGTTTTCTCAAAAACCGATTTCAAAATTTTAAAAGCCATTTGATGTATCTCAATGAGCACTATAGTTTGTCAGTTTTGTGAGACGATCTGCCGAGCCGTTTCTTTGTAGTTTCAAAAAGAGTGTTAAACTTTTCGTCCACATTTAAGCTTACTCTACCGAATCGATTTTAAAAAATCAAAAACTGTTCGAAAGATATTAGTTGGGAATAATACTGATTAGTTTAGATGAAAATCTACCGACCCGTTTTCTTGTAATTAACTGTTGAAAAAAAAATTAAAACGATGTTTATGGAACTTTTTTTGTCGATATATTATATACCATGGTCTTATAGAACTTACTGAATTATTACGGCTTTACGGCAAGTAGTTTAATCTTAAAAATTCATCAAAGTTTGAGAAAATGAGTTGTTTTTTTGACGTTTCTTGAAATTAAAATTAGATGATTTACTTGGTATAACGATAGATTACTTGGTCTTAATCAACATACTAAACCATCAACGTCCTACGAAAACTGGTTCAATTATAAAAATTATTGATTTGTGAAAATTTGCTTTAAGAAAATATTCCGAGTTAACGTGTTCGTTCGTTTTCAATTGTGTGTAATAAATCCACTCGGAATACTTCTAATCACTCATAAATTAATTTGTTTATTATTGATTAAGTCGATTATTTACACATATCGGGAAGTTCATGTAACTTGCCTTAAGGCTAAATACCAATACCAACTAGTTAATTTATGCATGGGGTTATAATCGGCGCATGTTGAAGTGCTATGAACTGATGTATTAAAATTTATAACTGCGACAATTTTAGAAAGAAAATTTTCCTTATCACGCATTCAAAGATCACAATTATCCATTTCTCAAAGGATTTGCGACATACATAACAATTATCAAAGTGTATCTTGCATCTTGCGAGTGCGCGTTCCAGAAACTCCGCGTGCATAATAAATGTTCCGTGCAATTTGTATATTGCAAGTGTTTCAGTTTCAGTTCAGATCTATAGAAGCATCCGTTTCAAACATTTCGGATGCACAGCCTAAGCGAGCGAAACTTATGCATATTTTACAGGTACTTTGATATTGAAAAGTTATTTTTGTACACGAGAGAGCTATAAAACAGACATCGCCATGGAGAAAGAGATCGTACTCAAATGGATGAGAATGGGAAGATTGTAAATAGTCTCATGGCAGTTTACGTGTTTTTAAATTAATACTCTTATTTTTTCTCATTTTGGAAGAAATGATGAATTCTAGATGTTACTAGACAGGACTGTCCAAAATGAACTATATCAACAATAGACCTTGTCAACCTATTCAAAGTCATAAGTATTGATTCACTGCTTTTAAAAAAATCTTATCTATTATATTATAGCCTTGCAATAACGTTGGTCTGTTTTACGGCAGAATTAGCCCATCAATCTAAAACTTAAGTAACATATAACTATTATTTTTTCCATCAAGAAACTACAATCGATTGTATTTGACCATGTATAAAATAATTTTAAAAATTGTATATCTATAAACCCTAATTAAAATCGCAAATATTTTTAATTAGTTTTAACAGAGAA